CTTTTACTACAATTGCTTCGTTCATTGCAAGGTTTAAAACTCGTAACAGCGTCGAAAACCAAAGACGAACAGGTGCTCAGAGGAAGATTTCTCTAAGATCAGCAAGGATATTAGGACGCCAGATTCAACAAAATCCAAAGGTTACCCGAGAAGAGCTGCAGGAACATCTGCGTGCATTAGGGATTAAAGTAACTAAGCGTACAATAAGTAATGAACTACACAAAAACAGTCTGAAATCACGCATCCCAAGGAGATGCTAGGCTAAAATTCGTTAGAGAGCATAAGGATAAAGAATATTCGTTTTGGGAAAAAAGTACTATGGACAGATAAAACTAAAATAGAGTTGTTTGGTCATAATTATCGAAATCATGTGTGGAGGAAGGACGGTGAAGCCTACTTACCAAAGAACACGTTGCCAACTGTAAAGTTTGGTGGTGGCAGTATCATGATATGGGGCTGTTTTTCTGCAAAAAAGTGTTGGCAGAATATCAATAATAGATGGCAAGATGAATGCCGAAAGCTACCAGAAAATCCTGCAAGACAATTTAATGCGTTCTGTTGAGAGACTTCGGCTACCACCTGATTGGGTTTTCCAACTGGATAATGATCCTAAGCATACCGCTAGATCTACAAAGAAATGGTTAGCTGAAAGTAACGTTGATGTCTTGCAATGGCCAAGTCAGTCCCCAGACTTGAACCCAATCGAGAATTTATGGCGATATTTGAAAATTCAACTTGGGAAAAGAGCACCAACAAATATCAAGAATTTGAAGGCAATATGCCAAGAAGAATGGGACAAAATACCACTCAATGTGTGCAAATCATTAGTTGAGACGTACAGGAATAGACTGGTAGCTGTTGAACTCAATAAAGGATATTCCACAAAGTATTAAATTAAGTTAATATGCTTTTTTTTGTTTTGTACAAATACTTTCTTCATCAGTTAAAATGAAAAAATGCATTAATTTCTGTTAGAATAAGAATTAATTAAGTTTATTACCATTTTTTAATAAGATGTATCTTTACACATAAAATGTATCAAAATTTGTTTTAGTTAAGGCTTTTACATTTATAAAAATACAATTCATCACGTGTACGAATATTTATTTCCACCCACTGTATATATATATATATATATATATATATATATATTCATGAATTATTCACACAAAAACAAAAGCAAAGGTTAATGATTTAATTGGCGAGAAATCCATCATCGCAAACAATTCAAATAATATACAAAAACCTCCGAATCCGTTATGAATGAATTGATCCTTGTTTCCATAAATTTCTGCCGTATTAGTTCTTATTTTTACTACAAGCTTTCGTCTGTTCCTACAGACATCTTCATGTATAGAATAGATGTTGTTCTTGTTTTTCTCTTAGTAATAAGAGAACAACGAAAATATATGTATTGTTGTATCCGAAAATGCTATTGAAAATGAGTTATTGTTTTGGAGCGCGCCAGTAGCAACGCTGAGTTTGATTTTAAATTTTTAAAGGTTGTGCGTTCATATAAATATGGTGATGAACGAATTTTTTACTGGTAAATTTTCTGTCAAAGTGACATGAACTATATTGTTCAATAATTACAGTAATGTCGCACTTATTATCCAAAAGTCGCACTTGGATCAGTTATTTAAATTACGATAAACGTGCAATCAATTTACAAATTCATGAATTATTCACACAAAAACAAAAGCAAAGGTTAATGATTTAATTGCTGAGAAATCCATCATCGCAAACAATTCAAATAATATACAAAAACCTCCGAATCCGTTATGAATGAATTGATCCTTGTTTCCATAAATTTCTGCCGTATTAGTTCTTATTTTTACTACAAGCTTTCATCTGTTCCTACAGACATCTTCAGGTATAGAATAGATATTGTTCTTGTTTTTTCTCTTAGTAATATATATATATATTACAGCAAAGAAACAAATATTACCTCAACATAGAGTTTTTTGCTGTAAAAAATATACATCCTCTGTTATAATAAATACATTGAGCTCTCTGTGGATCAGTTTTAATAACTAATATTACTAGGATCCACCCGGATTATATACCAACGGATCGATTACCTGTACTACATATATATATATATATATATATATATATATATATATATATATATATATATAAGTAAATATGTATGTACAGATAGATATAGATAGATAGATAGATAGATAGATAGATAGATAGATAGATAAGTAAATATGTACATGTATAACATTAATAAAATATAAGAAATTAATTAAAACCCATCATTTACCTGGCTGTTGCTTTCTGTGGTAGACTGGTTGTCAACCAAAGTTATAGGAACCAATCTGTTCTGCTGTTTAACCCATAGCTGGGTGGAGAAGAGATGGATTCCTACTTTTTCCAAGCGTATTTGCCCTTAAGTGAGTGTAACGCACTCGACTGTAATTTGAACTCGGCTCTTCGATTTCGCATTCCAAGCCGTTTTTCATCACATCAACCGCACATTCAAACTTACAGCATCTGGTATACCCAATTGGTCACCAGCTCAACGTTGCTTAACTTTGGGTGGCCGCACGAGAATCGTTTTTTCAACGTGATATGGCCGTAAACAAGAGAATGTTACTTTGACCCCGAAAATATGTTGCTACTTGTTTCCTTGATAGTCTGGACTCGCTGAACTACATTGGAATTATATCGTCTAAAAAGTGAACTCCGTGTGTGCGAGCTGATCTTTACTTTAAACATGTAGCGCAGTTGCCAAGAAGAATATGCAAAAGATAGACAGTACACCGTCTCCTGATTCTTGCAAGCGAAGAAAAGCTAGCAACAACTCTTTATACATAAATTTCAATTGTCACTTATTGGTTTTCTTACGTCATTCATTCGATGACCTGCACACAGTTCCATCTTTCATTTCTTTGGTGCGGCGAATCTATTCATTCATTCATTCAGCTATTCGTTTGTTCGGTCGGGTTCTTTCATTCATGGACAATCTCGACTCACAAGGATTCTGTGCCAGTTTGTTGTTACTGAACAATTGGTCCGTCTCGAAGACAAGGAGCGACATATTAATATCCGTCTCCGAAGAATTCACCAGACTTACATGAAATATTAATAGATATTTATTTGACGAGAATGTTTACTTTTAGAAAACAGAACTGGGACAAAAATGTGATATCGATAACGTTTATAGGCAGGGTCGGATGAATGCCAACTGAAGCCGTAAGCACAGTCCAACAATAGTGCCCTCCCCAGATAATATCTAGAAAGAGAGCTACTGTTTTCAATTTTGTTTCACTATTTAATCTTATATAAATCTTAAATATTAATGATGCAAATCTTCTTCTTCTTCTTCTTCTTCTTCTTCTTCTTCTATGCCTTTCAGGGCGTGCACGATTATGGTTCTCCACTTTTCCTATCCCTTGTAGTTCTTAGCAATGGTTATCTTTTTGCTACAATCTTAACACCTTCAAGTCTAGTGTTAAATGTTATCCTTACTAAATACCCTCATAATCTACACTTCTTACCTGCTTCACTTGTTATGTCTATCCAACATCATTCAATAACTCTCTAACTTGAGTGGCTCTAGTGTCTTGTACTGAGTGAGAAAAATTTCAGCAGGTTTTTTTTTTTACGCATTTCACCCCAAGCAAGTCAGGAGTGCCGCTAGCACGCATGGGGTCACGGAGATTGAAAATGAGAAAGTGTGTGTAGGAGGGATAGGGGAAAAGGGAAAAAAACAGGACAGGAATCAAGGCAACAGAAGATGGCGATTGACGTTGCATTCAAATTTTTGTAGATTGTAGTTATCAGGGAAGCAAGTAAGCAGAAGGGACTTCCAATGTCGGAAAGTACGAAAAAAGAAACTGTTGGAGCAGAACAGAAAAGGGGTGGGACCTAAATGCCAATCTAGTAGCACGCGTAAATTCCTGTAGTCAGAGAAAAAAGTCCGTCGGAGCTTTCTTTCTTTTTATGTGCCATGTCCCTTCAGGACGTGAGCGATCATGGCTCTCCATCTCCTTCTATCCCTTCCAGCTCTCATCAAGCTCCTTCCTCTGCTTCCTCCCCAGACAACGTTCTGTTACCCACCTGCTCAAGCTCATCAGGTATGTCACGCGCTGCTTTCCCTTGTCTCTCTTTCCCTTTATTTGACCCGTGAGTATCAGATTCTCAAGACCCTCTTTCCTCATTATGTGTCCCAAAAACTTCAGCTGCCTCTTTCTGGTGTTAAGTATAAGCCTCCTCCTTGTTTGTAACCTCTTTAAGACCTCATCGTCGCTCACATGCTCGGTTCACGATATCCTTAGCATTCTTCTGTAGAATCACATCTCCGTCGCTTCGAGTCTCTTCTTCATCTTTGAGGAAATCGTCTAACATTCGCTGCCGTAAAGAAGGACAGATATCACTTAAGAGCTCAGTATTCTTTTCTTTGTTACCAAAGAAATCCTCCTGTTTCGCAATACTCTGCCCTGCTTTTGGAATGTGTCCTTGGCCTTCCCAATACGTCTACGGATCTCAGTGCCGCACTTGAAAATATTTGTAAAGGCTATAATAAAAAAAAAATGTACAAAAGACAAATACAAATGCGTAACTTGTGTTTGAAAGTTCTCAAAAGTATACCTTCATCTTCTACGTGATGTGTACCTTCAGGTCGTGGGCTATTATGGCTCCCCAGAATGTCCTGTCCTTTATAGCTCTTAGAAAATTTTGTCTCTTTGCTATCTCTTATAATCCCTGTTCTGCCAGCCATTTACACAAGCTCGTTAGATAGGTTATTCGCTGAATTCCTCTGTCTCTCTTACCTTCTAGACGTTCTGTGAGTGTTAAATTTTCTAAACCCTCTTTTCTTATTATGGGCCCTAGAAATTTCAGTTGTCGCTTTCTGATTCTAAGTATAATGGTCCTTTTTGTTTCCATTTTCTATTCGTCGTTGATCACATGTTCATTCCATGGTGTTCTCAGCATCCTTCTGTAGAATCAATTCTCGGTTTCGTCAAGTCTCCTCTTCATATGTAGACTTACGGCCACACCACGTTGAACCACCGGTTCCCGTAAGGTCACCGAGGTTAAACAACGTCGAACCCGGTCAATACCTAGATGGGTGACTACCTGGGAATACCAGGTGTTGTAAGCTTGGATATGCGGGTGGTTTAATGGATAATGATTCGGAATTGTGAACCGGAGAGCCGAGTTCCAATTCCCGTTGGGTTCGTTATATTCACATGTGCAAATACACTTAAGAATGTTATGAATCTCTCTCTCTCTCTCTCTTTCTCTCTCTTCTCCTCCCCCTAGCTATCAGTTAATTAGTAAGACTTATAATCTCAAAAAAAAATATTCTTAAAATCTAAAAAATATTTTCTGGCTTTAAATAACCTGTAAAAGGGTCGATAAGCTGTAGAAAACGACTCAATCAATCATCTTCATATACGAGGAAATTGTTCAGCACCCACTGCTATATAGAAGGAGTGGTATTACGTAGCGGTTTAGTATTCTTGTTTCTAGCGAAATTTTCCTGTTTCTTAGTATTTTATTGAGATTATGAACGGCATATTTCCCTATTACAATGCGCCTGAGGGTTTATGTGTAACGTTTTCCATGATCTGTTATAATACTCGACAGATTGTTATATTTTTGCACTTGCTTGAGTATAACATCCACAATTCGTAGCCCGTATCTTGGGTTGCCCAAGATAACGACTATATATTCTATTTTCTTAGAATTGAAGGTTAGTCCTTTCTTCCAGCTTTTTTTTACTACTCTCTCTAAGAGTCTCTGCAGTTTTCTTTCTGTGCTTTCCATTAGTGCGGTGACATCTGCGTATTTTATGTTTTTAAGATTGTGTCCATCAATCTTACAAAATTAATTAACTAATTAACAAAAAATAAGATAAATATTTTTCATAAATAGTTTTTTCCAGCAGTTTTCGTATTAGTTTTAGCGCAAATATGGTCTGGTTACTACAAGGCACAATACCTTCAAATGAAAAAAATTCTTTTGATGCTCTAAGCAGGAAAGTAGGCTTGGAGAATTTGACACTCATAGAAAATATCGGAAGCAAAATGAACAGGGAAAGGCAACAGCCCACTGATTTGACGAGGTTATGTGACTGGGTGGCAGAGCGGTGGAGGTGAAATTTTTGGCAAAGCGACAAACGGTGCTAAGAGCTACAAAGATTAGGAGGTTTTCGAAGGCCAAGATCGTCCGTGTCCTGAAGTGACACGGCATATAGAACAAGAAGAAGCATGTGCTTATTTTGTTTAATGCTTAAACTGATGAAACAAAGAGGGGTAGAGACAGGTAGAGATTTTTAGACGGCGTCAATTTTAGCACAACGCCAATTTCTCAGGATATCGCGAATTAAAAATTATTGGATGGGTGCAAAATTTTTCCGAAGAAAAAACAGTTTTCCTGATGCTAATTTTCAAAAAAAAAAAGCACTAGGAACTTTTGCACCTGTCTAATCCTGTTCAAACAAGCCTACTGTTCAAAACTCGTGATGACCAGAGATTGGCAGCTGATCTCTCATATGATCTAGCTCTAACATATCAGTAGGAGAAAACTGGTCTGTTACATTCAATGCCTCGAAAACCAAACTAGATACATTCCATCATCGCCAATCAGACCCAAAACTAACACCAGTCTCGATGAATTGATGCCCCCTCGGTGGGACTCTGTGACTCACCGCTAGAACTCGTGCATATCATCCATCGCTAAAGATGCTGGGAAAATGGTCGGTTCTCTGTACCGCTCCAGTAAGTACCTGACTCCTTGTGCTAGATTTACAAGAGCCAGATCAGGCCTAAGATTGAATACTATTGTTATATTTGGATGGGAGCTGCCCAGTCCTCTTTCCAGTCTCGGTAGAGTGTAAAAGCTTCTCCGAGTCCTTATGGGTGACAAATTATTTCCTACCCTCCAACCCTTCTCGCACAGACGGGATTTGGCAAGCTTTTAACTGTTCTATCGCTACTTCCATGAAATGAGCTCGAATGAACTGTATTCCTTGGTTCTGCCTGTTCTAACCGTCACGGTCAGGACCCGCCATGCCATCCACATTGTCGCAAACCATCCTCATTTCCTCCGTATTTCATTGCTGAGAAGTAATTTCCACTCGAACAGCTTCTTCCCGCGAACGACTGCTTTATGGAACCGACACCCAAGAGGATGTTTGCCCGATCATTACAGTCTTAACCTGTGCAAGTCTAGGGTTGACAGTTATCTTTCCCTCCGATCCGCATAAACCACTTCTTACTCTTATCTCGAGTAGCCTTTGACTCCTTGTACAGAGTGAAACTCACTGTAAAAAAAAATGGCGTCACGGATTATTAATTATTATAAATTATTAATTATTATTAATTATAATAAATTATTAATTATTATAAATTGCCTAGTCCAAAGTACCAATAAAGAGGCGATGCTACGTCCAAATTCGCTAACAATGGTGTGTAATGGTAAATTATTACCATGCTGTTTTATTATATATACACAGTGCGACAGATATTTCAAGAGAAAATGAAAGCTGACGTAACGTAACAGGCTTCAGATTTTTATATCCCCTTTTCTTTTTATCAAAGCCATTGATATGACAACTTTCAATTTCACTCAGGAAATAAAACAAAAACACCTGGAACGTTAGCACTAGCCAACCTCAGCGACTCGAAGATATCTAGATTCTCGCAAGTGGCCAGGTCCTTCGTGATCAAGGTCAGTAATGAGTTCTGACAGATACCTGTCCTCTATGGTCAAGAGATCGAAACAGTCTAAGAGGTCAGACGTCGTTAGAATGTTGAGTGGGGTGTTAGAGTGCGTCCAGCAGGAGCAGATTATCAATTATGACTCCAGTCAGTCGCGATGAAAAAGATCACCGAGCAATGCGACTTGAGGTGACATGGGAAGCTTACTATCGATATGAAATAAGGAAAACTAGTCCCGAATTAGATCTCTCTTACTTTCTTCTTTCCACGTCCTTATACTGCAGGGTCTCTCAACTCCAGAACGCGAAATGATCTTATGTGTTTTCTGCTCCTAAACACTTGAACATCATTGGACATTGCTGAGAAAATCAGAAGCTATCTCATTACATCAAACTAGTAAAGTATTACATAGAGAGAGAGATAATGAACATACTGAGATAGATAGATAGATAGATAGATAGATAGATAGATAGATAGATAGATAGATATAAACTGACCGAGATAGATAGATAGATAGATAGATAGATAGATAGATAGATATAAACTGACCGAGATAGATAGATAGATAGATAGATAGATAGATAGATAGATAGATAGAAATTGTCCGAGATAGATAGATAGATAGATAGATAGATAGATAGATAGATAGATATAAACTGTCCGAGATAGATAGATAGATAGATAGATAGATAGATAGATAGATATAAATTGTTCGAGATAGATAGATAGATAGATAGATAGATAGATAGATAGATAGATAGATAGATAGAAACTGACCGAGATAGATAGATAGATAGATAGATAGATAGATAGATAGAAACTGACCGAGATAGATAGATAGATAGATAGATAGATAGATAGATAGATATGGCTATGTAAGCGAACAGAATATTTTAAATATGGAGAGAAGGAAATAAAGAACACGAAAAATATCTCACGAGGCTGAGATAAATATCAGTACATTTGTAAGCTTGTAAAACCTGCAACTTTCTATAGATTATGCATGTCAAAGACTCCACGATTACATTTTACTACCATGACTCCCTTCAAACCAGTGTCGCATACAACCGCACCCATCTTTTAAACCAGCGACATTAATGCCTTTCCAGCCATCAACGATTCAACCAGCATTAAAATCCCTGCAATCAACAGTACCATCGCCTTATTCGCCAGCATCCCTTCAACCGCCACAAACATCTTCAGTTCTCCTACTTTCTTCTTCTACATCAACTGATGAGCACTTAGTTTGTCTTCCCATGTTTGGCCAAGAAATGGCGGGAAACCTGCCATCCAGCGAAATTGTTTTATGATACGATTGCTTCGTTATCATTGTGGTGGCCGACGTCATCATCGCTAGAGTTACACCAGTTGTGATTATCACAATTGTTGGAATTCGACACCAAACAGATACTGGGATTATAACTATAGAAGCGAAAGAAAGAAAGACAGAAAGTAAGAAAGAAAAAGCGTGGAAGAAAAATACAAAGAAAGAAAGAAAGAAAGAAAGAAAGAAAGAAAGAAAGAAAGAAAGAAAGAAAGAAGGTTGGACAACATAATAGGAAAAATATCCGAAAGGGATAAAAATTTACGAGTACGCTCTTAGCTAGCAAGCTAGCTTGATAGATAGATAGATAGATAGATAGATAGATAGATAGATATGAACAAAATGTGATAGATAGATAGATAGATAGATAGATAGATAGATAGATAGATAGATAGATAGATAGATAGATAGATAGGAACCGAATGAGAAACAGAAAAGGAAAACTTCGAAAATATTGAAACGGAAAAGAGGAGAATGGGGAATATAAAATAAAAAAAATGAAATGAAAATTCATGGGAGATTTGTGAATGGCCTTTGGGGATAGTTAATCAGGAAGAAAATAATTATGCGTGAAGACAACACAGAAAAAAAATGATAATATTAAAAAAGCGTCTTAAATAAACTGGAAATATCAGAAATGTGCAGAAAACGAAAGTAAGGAAAAAAGAAACGCCCAGCAAACTCGATGGGAAAGGCGCGGATGTGGATAGAGTAAATGGCCTTAACAAGAGAGATGTATAGATAAAATGATAGGTAAAAGAAGAAAAGCGAGAAAATGGAAGGAAAGTAAGAAAAAAAGAGGATTTAATATGGAAGGTAAAAGAAAGAAAGAAAGAAAGAAAGAAAGAAAGAAAGAAAGAAAGAAAGAAAGAAAGAAAGAAGCATTAATAAGAAAAATTGGAGGAAAAACGAACGAGAATTTACTAAGAACGAACGGTAAAAGAAAGAAGGGAAATCAGAAAGTGTGAATGAAAGAATGAAAGAAAAATAAATTAATAAGAGGCCAAAGAAAGAAAGAAAGAAAGAAAAAATGTGATTAATGAGAGAAGAAAGAAAGAAAGAAAGAAAGAAAGAAAGAAAAGGATTAATGAGAGAAGAAAGAAAGAAAGAAAGAAAGAAAGAAAGAAAGAAAGAAAGAAAAGAAAGAAAGAAAAGGATTAATGAGAGAAGAAAGAAAGAAAGAAAGAAAGAACGAGAATTTACTAAGAACAAACGGTAAAAGAAAGAAGGGAAATCAGAAAGTGTGAATGAAAGAATGAAAGAAAAATAAATTAATAAGAGGCCAAAGAAAGAAAGAAAGAAAGAAAAAATGTGATTAATGAGAGAAGAAAGAAAGAAAGAAAGAAAGAAAGAAAGAAAAGGATTAATGAGAGAAGAAAGAAAGAAAGAAAGAAAGAAAGAAAGAAAAGGATTAATGAGAGAAGAAAGAAAGAAAGAAAGAAAGAAAGAAAGAAAAGAATTAATGAAAGAAAGAAAGAAAGAAAGAAGCATTAATAAGAAAAATTGAAGCAAAAACGAATGAGAATTTACTAAGAACGAACAGTAAAAGAAAGAAGGGAAATCAGAAAGTGTGAATGAAAGAATGAAAGAAAAATAAATTAATAAGAGGCCAAAGAAAGAAAGAAAGAAAGAAAGAAAGAAAGAAAGAAAGAAAGAAAGAAAGAAAAAGTTAATAAGTGAGATGTGAAAGACAAAAAAAAAAACAGGAAAGAAACGCATTACGTGCGAAAACGAGAATAAAAATGAATTCCTTCATAAATAAATGAAACAAGATGTTTAAATTTGATCCGGCCGGGTAGAAGCGAAAGATTCGCGTGGGGGTGGGGGGATGAAGCGGTTCCTTGGAACTAGTGCCTGGGCAACGGGTTTGAAGAATGAGATGTAATCGATGGGAGCTGAAATTTATTCACAGTTTTCGATCGCCGAGGGCCGCACATTGTGTTGCTGAGTCATGCATCCACACACACACACACACACACACACACACACACACACACACACACACACACACACACACCCGCCCGCCTGCTCTTCCGAGATAAGCAATCCAGATCGGAATAGCAAAGCACAAAGTCTAAACAGACTAAAAAAACGTCATCAACGGCGAAGAAACAGGAATGATCATGGACGCGAGTCAGCATTGACTATATTTTTTTCTGATTTTTATTACTGTTGCATTATTTTCCGTTTCTAATGACAAACAAGGAAATCGTTGCTCTCCAGCAAGCATGGCAATTAAAAATGTTGTCGCTATTTACAAGACCAAAACATTAACCGGAAAACTTGAGTCAAGCCCTTAAATAGCTTCGTCATATCGAAATTTTCATATGGATGTCATGAATGGCACATATTCATTCAGAAATATCTAAAATATCAACTGTATCTAACAGCTTCCTAATATCAATGGCGCAAAAATGGCTTTGAGCGATCAAAACCTGAGAGACTTGGCAAGGATTGTCCCACTCCAAACATTGTGATTTGGGGCTACAGAATCACAAAGAATTGTACCAGATAATAAAATCCACATCACTTGAGGACTTTCAAAAGCAACAACCGCTAAAATTGATATCACGTGTAACTCAAAGAAAATAATTGCATAATCAATATGTTGACGTTCCACACAACTTCAAACAAAAGGTTAGGAAGGAAACCACCATCAATATTGGAAAGACCAATAACAGCTACTGGATTTGAGAAGAAAAAATAATTACATAATCAATATGTTGATATTCCACACTACTTCAAACAAAAGGTTAGGAAGGAAACCCCAATCAATACGATAACAGCTACTGGACTTGAGGATCCTGAAAAATTGTTTTAAGAGAAAGACTTCATAAATTTCAAACGGGAGCAGCGCTGGCTGCTCGATCAATGAATGCTGAATGTTTCCTTATTAGGAAACGGCTAATACTATCATTAGCAATCTCAGAATCATGTTAGTAGTTCAACGAACAAGGATTGAGCTCACTACACTTGTGAACTTGTTTGCAATATTGCTTTTTTTACCTAACGTTGCCGGTAGATGCCAAAAAGAAAAGCAATTTTACATAATTTGGTACAAGGCCATTGAAATTGGATTCCAATAGAAATTCGAACACTCAACTTGCTCAAATGACTTGGTCTATGACCTTAATTATCGTTCCCTGGTCAACAACTCCTTTTACATACGGAGGATTTGTTTAATCAAATTTCCCCATGGCTTCACAGTGGGTCTGAATATATTTGTATAAATAGAAAATATACAAAGTAATTTGGAAATTTTCTATTTTGACATGTTTCGCCAATGAGCAGGCATCATCAGAAAAATGAAGAATTTTTTTTTACACTGGAAAATCTACATTAACCAAACAAAAAGTAATTCATGTTCAGCGTCTGTGTTGTAGAGTAGTTTTCACAGTATAGGCTTATTTCACTAAGTCGTCCTAAATTAGGTTCGACGTACAAAACGTTAGGAACTTGAAATAAGAGTTAATGACGCAGCAATCTAGTTGTGATGGTTGATACTTCAATGTCCGACATTGACTGACTCACTCAACACCACTGAACCCCACTGGCGACCGCTACTACTACTACTACTACTTATTATGTGTGGGAGAGTCTATTAATAATAGAATAGGTACGTTCAGGTATGACAGTCTGAATGCTGCATTTTTACACTAGATGTAGCGTTATAGAAATCAGATTTTCATTTATTTCAGTTCAAATTAAACAACACATTCCATGCACTTGCGTTTCATCAAAAACTTCGTGAAGACAATTTTGATTTGGAAAAAGTGTTATTAAAAGTGAATATAATTTACTCAACTGATCAATTAGTCCCCTACAATTAATATATGACCAGACTATTTCTTTTTATCTCTCCCTCTTCTTACTAAATTAGTACTTAAAGATTGTGGGATACGTAGTACTTAAAATTAATTACCGTATTTGCCGGACGCAGATTTTTTTTTTCCAAAAAAATACTCTGCGTAACATGAAATGGAAAGACTATATTGAATCCATTGCTAGGTCAGCTGCTAAGAAAGTCGGTTCACTCTGTCGTGCGAGACAATTTTTCTCTTCTGAATCTATCTTGCATATCTATAAGTCTAATATTCGTCCATGCTTAGAATATGGCTGCGACATATGGCCTGGTGTCCCCTGCTATTTACCTTGACCCCTTCGATAAGATCCAAAGAAGAATCAGCAATATTATTAGTCCTGATCTGGCGGTTCGGCTTCAGTCATTTTTCCACCGCCGTAATGTTGCCTCTCTGTGTCTTTTCTATAAATACTTTCATGGTAATTGTTCAGATGAGCTCTTCGCTATGGTACCCAATGTTTTTTTGTTTTTTTTTATTTAAGTGTAGTACTAGGTTAGCCTCGAGATCTCATCAATTTACAGTTGAGATGGCTAGATGTAGCCGTAAGTTCTATGCTAACACTTTCTTCTTTCGCACTTCTCGCTTGTGGAACTCCCTTCCGGCTCTATGCTTTCCAGCTTACTTTAATCTGAAAAAAATTAAATGCAATGTCATATCGCTATCTACTGTCCTCCTGATTGATCTTATCTATTTCCGCTCATTATTAATGTTTCTATTCCTAATTGTTATGAAGGTCAGTATCGGCTCTCGAATATTAGAAAAATAATGAATCTTGATGTGCGGTAGGAGACGGGCGAAATACATATAAACAGGCGCTTAGGCGATGTAAAAAAAAACAGAAGCCGGTAGAAGGCAGGAGAAGCCAGAAGAATCCGCGTGACCTGCTGCTGAGAGAATTCCCGACCTTGTTTTGTTTGTTTGTTTTTTGTTTGTTTTAAATCCGCTTCAAGTTTTAAAAGAAAAAGACAAGGTGTCACAATAGAGATTTTATCAGGAAGTGTTAATTTTGTTGTATCAAGAACTATATAAACCAATTGAAAATTAACCCGGTGACCTTCTTCGATATTTTGTTGTCATTTTTATTTTCGCCAGCGGAAACATTCTTTGTCCTTTTGTAGCACGGTTTCGCCACGGTTCGACCCAGCGTTCGAGTACAGACGAAATTCGATCTTCACTGCTCTGTGATCAAGGAACACAATGTAGGGCAGAAACAGATGATAGAACATGAAATGGTTGTGATTTTTGCATTTGCTTTTCCATGCCAAAATCTCAGTGCGTCTAGTGCATGGCTGCGACCAATAAGCCGGCAAAAATGGTAATTAAAATAAAATCAAAAAAATAAGTTTGTCTTCTTAATTCTTAGAACTTCTTTCTTAATTCTTGTTTTTTGTCTGTCCATAACAGTGTTTTTTGGTTGTTGTTCTCTCTGTGTGTGTGTGTGTGTAATCCCTTACGTCTTAGTGGTTTTATTGCCTTGCTTCCAGTGAAATGATTAAAAAAATTGTTGAAAGTAGTTAAAATCTAATTTCTATAACGATTCAATTAAAGTGAAAATCATACGTTCAGATACTTAATCTTAAATCATGTCTTATCTCATATCGTTTTTTCTTGTGAAATAAATTTCTTTTTCTAATGAAGACGATCAATGTCAAAGATAGAGATTTTCCAAACTGCCTTATATATTAACCATTTTCCTGTACAATTAATTTTCAAATAGATTGGGTAGGTGGAATTTTGGGGTTTTTTTTCTGTCTGAATTTCTGGTATGAGGAGGTAGCCTTATTTACATTATTTACTTTCAGACTAATGTCCACATCTTTGTTATTATTATCACAACGTTTCAACCGTTATGCTCTCTCCTTCTTCAGGTATCTGTAACCTCCGAACTCGACCATTTTAATCTACCGTGGTAACTTGTTCTCGTTCAACTGCCCATGTATAGAGATATCTCGTGTAGTTCTTATTTTTACTACTGCACAGTCATTGCTCATTCTTTTCCGGCAAAGTCTGAGCCTGTACTACACGAACCAAGGGATGAACTCACAATTACTATTCCACCAAATTCATAAACGAAAGCTTTAATCCCGACAGACGCTTGACTAAAACCTGAGGGTCCAACAACCGAAACGTGACGAAAACACAAAACTCTACAGGACATTAGTCCTAATTTTTCTGTAATGAAACACTTAATCCTACGATGCTAATTTTCTGAATATCTAATAAAAAGTGTGGTTGGAATAAAGATGTCCGGGGTGATTTTTTTCTTTAAAATAGAATAATCGTCATGGCCCGTGTAATTTGAAATTCAAAGGTATGCATATTTGTGTGTAACGTGCGGACAACATCACGGTAAACGACACAAAAATGCTAGTAAAATATTTATGGAAAAGACAGAGGGAAGCCACATCATGGCTGTGGAAAAGTGACTGAAGTTGAGATGCCAGGTCAGGTTTCGTTTTGTAGCATCTAATCATGTTAGCCCAAATTTTCACTAGTACAACCATTCCTGTTTTCAGTTTCCGTGTCTCCTATTGTTATGGTCCAATATCCTCACACCACATGTATGGTCCAAGGTTAGAACCAAGGAAGAACAACACGAACACAAGACTAGAATAACAAAGATATATTACAACAGAAATATAGTACAAGAAGTTGAAGGTGTTAGTAATGACTGTCCGTCTGGTTTAGAATGAACTAATATTGTCTCGACTCGTTACACCATTCATTCGGTATTTAGCCCCCCCCCACGAGGGTTGCATGTGGCACAAGGCCGAGTTTAACGTGGGTTTCCCGAGCCCGTAGGCTCGACCAAAAATATACCCTTTGAACACGCCTAGACGGGTTCAGGGCCTGTCT